CACCCCTGCGCAGCCACACAGCCTCTCAGCTGCTTCTAGTCCCTGGAGAGGAGCAGGGCAAGGGCCTGGACCCTACTCCACCCATGCTGAACACTCCCAACCCTGGGGAAATTACAAGGCAACTTGTACACAAAAAACAAAAAAAAACCCAACCAATGTATTTATTTAATATATTCATCACAAGGGCTCAACCAGACACTTAATTTAAAAAACAGAAACAAAACAAAAATAACACCACAGTTTAAGATACAGAGTCCTAGGCAGAAATGAAGGAAAGGACAGACCATCTAAGGAGAAAATAAAAAGACAACACAAGGAAAGAGGCTAGACAGTCAGGGTTCTTGGCTGGAGACCTGCTTTGAGTAGGTTTCTTGCAGATACTTCTTGAATGCTGAAAGAGAACAGGCAGGTATCAGGGAGTGGTGGGGACGGGGATTAAGATGCACATGAGGGCAAGCAAGGATACAAAATCTGGGGAGCTGGAGAGGATTTCTTAGTACAACAGAGTCCCTTTTGCTGCCCACCCAGTCAGGTCTTGGGGAGGGGTTCTGCTTCCAGTGAGGCTGGGGAGGTGACTGGGGGGCCTCAGTGAGCAAATCGTTTGCACAAAGCTTTGCCTTCTACTTAAAAAGCCCCTCAACCTACATTAACGTGGAAAGAGTTTCCTGATTTTTATAGCAAACAGGCAAATCAGAAAACACCAAGGCAGAGGCAGAAGTGGATTCCCTAGGTTGACATCCATTCCCAACCCAGTCCTCAGGACACAATCCCAAGTCACCAAGATCCTTCTGTGTGAGGGAGCCTTTGAAGGCTGGGGAGGGATCACCCGGTGCCGGGAAAGGATGGAGGACCCACCTGTGGGGTTTTTCCAGAGCTCAGCAGCATGTGTGTTCAAAGGGCTATCGATGTTAGGTTCTGTGGACGGACAGAAAGAGAATGATCAGTAGGGGTAGAAGAGGCTGGCCTGGGGGAATCCCGGGAGGCCTGACAGCTTCCCGGGTTCAGGGGACGGGCTGGTCTCAGAAGTCACCTCCTAGCAGGCTCTGGATGGACAGCAGGATGGTCCTGACATCATACAAGGCAGACCACTTGTCCTTCAGGATGTCCAAGCAGATGTTACCCTGGGTGTCCACGTTGGGGTGGTAGCAGGGCGTGAGGAACTTGACCGTGGGCGCATTGTAAGGGTAGCCACTGGGGAACTCCAGGGAGAGTTTATACCTCAGGTCCTCGTATACCTGGCATCGGAGAAACAGGTGGGGAGTATACCTCCCACCCTGAGCCTCACAGCCCAACCCAAGCCCCAGAAAGGGGCTTGCTAGGACCTTTGAGTTTATCTGGGACTTGACAAAAGACAAAGTGTTGCAATGGCTCTGGTTCTTTCTCGCATATCTGGCAGGGACATCAGTGATCCTTGTCCTACAGATAAGGGGCATAAACTGGCATCCTGAGGGCTACCACAGCTGTGCTTTAGTCAGTTATAACATTAGATACTAACATGTAAAAACCAGGATGTTTTAGACATATATCCAGATTTTTTTATTTTTTAAAAGATTTTATTTTTACGTAATTGCTATACCCAACGTGGGTATAGACACAACTCCAAGATCGAGTCACACGTTACACTGACTGAGCCAGCCAGGCACTCGTGGATTCTGACTAATCGTAAACCAGATGTGGAGCAGGGCGCCTGGGTGGCTCAGTGGGTTAAGCGTCTGACTTTGGCTCAGGTCATGAACTTGCGGTTTGTGAGTTTGAGCCCTGCACTGGGCTCTGTGCTGACAGCTCAGGGCCTGGAGCCTGCTTCGGATTCGGTGTCTCCCTCTCTCTCTGCCCCTAACCCATTCGCATTCTGTCTTGGTCTCTCTCAAAAGTAAATAAACATTAAAAAAAATTAAAAATAAAATACCCCAAAACGCACCAACCAAAACCCAGACGTGCAGCAATGGCAAGCCGCCATCTTGGGACTTACTTGAGCCCTTTCATCGGCCAAAGTCCTCATGTACCCTCCATTCTCCTTTTTGTCTGGCCCCCTATAGGCACTTAAGATGGGAAGCCCTGCTTTAAACCCAACCTCTTACTGTACAGAGGGAGAGACGAGGCCATAGGCTCAGAGCACAAGAACACAACAGGGGAATGTCCTGCCAGGCTGAAGACTTGAAGCTGACCTGCGCTTGGATTTCTCTTCCTACCTCTCCCCAGACCCAGCCAAGTCACACTCACCGACCTCAACCCTACACTTACTGTGCCAGCTGCTCCATGGATGGTCCCCACCCATTTGAAAAGGTTGTCGGATTCAGGGAAGGCAGAAATTCCTTTGTCACCAGACATCTGGGGGAAGAAACAACACCTGCTGGGCTGCAGACTACACTTTTAGGGGTCAGTGGGTGAACTCCTTCCTCTGAAGCGCATCACATTTTGATCCAAAATAAAGCAACCAGACCAAATTGACAGGCTTTTCTGGGGAAGTGATTCAGTTCTTGGGGGCTGAACCTTCCCCTTTGGGGAGGGGTACTGGGTATGTTAAGGAGAGAGGGGTTATGCAGAGAAGCAGAAGGGAGCTCTGTACTTCCAATCCTGTTGGATGCTGGGAATTCAACTGAGCATGCCAGTGAGTGCTGGTTACACACAAAGCCTCCATTAGATCTACATAGGGGCACTGAAGGATTTGAGTTGATATTCAGGGTTAATGCAGACAAGGTCATCTAGGAAGAAGCATTTCAAAGTATGACAGGATTAAGAATATTAAGGGTGGAGAGCAGGGTATGGGTAAATCTCCAGGCAAGGAAGTAGGACCAGGCAGGATAGAGGGAAAGCCTTGTATGGTTTCAGGGAACTGTATTTTAGAGAGAACTTCATGGTGGGGGTGGGGGTGGGATGTGGAGTAGACACTGCTGGAAGGAAAGGTGTAGGTGGGGTATATTAACTTCTTCCCAGAAGGGCGCAAACTGGACTCATGTTTTAATCCCCTGCACTATGTCTAGCAAAGAACCTGATGTAGGAAAGTCGCTGATTAGCGGAGGTGAGTGGGAGGTGGAGGGTGGAAGAACTGGTTGGGGGTCTGGGCAGGTAGTCACTCACCATAAGGGTCATCAGCTCCTGCTGTAGCCTGCAAAATGAGTGCTGGGAGTCATCTGGGAGTCTGGAGGAGCCAGGGCTCCAGGCGGTGCTTCTCCCCCCACCCCAATCTCTCTGGAGGAGCTGTCATGGAGGGTTCCCCTACCCCGAGGTCAGACTTCAGCGGGGGCACACACTAATTTCCACTTCCATAGGAGGGTCCCAGTGAGTCCTCACCCTTCCTAATTCCAGGCTCCCGCAGGGCGGTCTGGCTTGTTCTTAACTCCCTCAGCTTCTCTGACGTCTCTCCCCGTGCCGGGTCCCAATTTCTACCCACTTCCGTCCCCACTCTCCCCCGCGCCAAGTCACCGAAGGTCCCAGTCACACTTTCATCTTGGCTTACCCGCGGAGGATCCTGGCAGCCTGCCTCCCCCTTCCGTCCTCCTTCGGGAGGCCCTCCCAGGGCGGCCCGAGCTCCCGGCGTGCCCTCCTGTCCCCGTATCTGCCCGCTCAAGGAGGAGGTGGGGGCCCGGAAGTCGGAGGTCTCGACACCAAGGCCCAGGGCGTGCTGGGCACGGCCAGTGTTACCTCCACACCGCTCACCTCTTGCCCACGGGGCCCCGGGCAGCGCCCCCGCTGGGCTCGGCTCCTTTGCGGGCGGCGGCGACGCTGGCGGCGGCTGGGTCGCGGTTCTGGGAAGCCATCCGGACGGCGCAGGCAGGGAGACAGGAACTCGGAGAGCACAACTGCAACTGCAGGGCTGGGGGCCCGCCCGCCCGCGTTTGAATTGTAACCCTCCGGCGGCACCAGCCAATCAGCGGCTCGCTTGGGTTTGATCCAGCCAATGAGGAGCGCCAGAGCACTCTGTAACTGCGCAACTGCTAGACCCACCCTCCAGCGTACCACTATTGGGCGGCAGGAACAGACTTCTGATCGACGATTGGTAGAAGAGGCCGCCATTAACTAACGGATCTGCAGCGGATTGGTGGCCTTTGGAAAACGCCGACCATTAAAGGGCCAAGAAAAAGTCCACGTGGGATGATGAACCCTTCCAGGACAAACTCCGGGTTGCGGCGGGGAACGGCCGGGACGGTCAGCCAGGTTCCCTACGCCCAGGGGAAGGGAGCGTCCGGGTCTCGTCGACATTGGTACTTCTTCCCTCAACCCGGAAACCCCTGCTCCTCCATCTATTATAATGTCCCGGGCACCTCTGTAGGGACCTCTGAAAACTCATGCGAGGGGAATGATGGCCAGGAGACTCTTAGAAACGGGCTCATAACGCTGCTCTCCAACCGTCCTCTGGGACCTCGGACACAACATTTCGTATCTTAACCTGTAAAACGGGGGGGGGGGGGGGGGGGTAATGAAAGCCTCTCCTCATTTTCTGGTCTGTCATCAACCCCTATGGTGCCAGCCATCACATTCTGGCACTTCGTCTATACCTTAGGGGATGAAGAAATAAGAGACAGGGAAGGTTAACAAAGCACATGATGTCCCCACCCTCGTCTCATAAAGCAGATAATGCTTGGGGCAGACTTCACTGGGTCTGACCTGGAATGGGGGAGGGTAGCTGGTCATCTTTTCCTGTGCCCCCTTCTTCTAGAGCCCTTGGTAATCCGTCCATCCCTACAATGCGGACCACACAGCAAGCTCACTATGTTTATTACAAACTGTTTAATTGCTTCTTAACCCGATAACTTTACAAATATAGAACCACGTGCCATTCTGGGGGTGCTCTGTAATGAGTCACTACAGACTAGCCCAGGCACAGTTTAATGCCGCTGAGATCCGTCCAGGAGCAGTCCCGGCAGTGGCCTCAGCCATGTGGGGGAGGGCCCTGGGAGGAGGGCTGCCAAGTGTGGCCAGGGGACCTGGCTTCAGGTCTGAGGAGGTGCTTCGACAGCACGATGCTCATTCTCTGTCCGTAGTGTCTCCATGTACTTTCGCATCTTCTCAACCATCCAGGAGGGTAGCACAAAGGATTTCAGCTCCTCCAATTTCAGGTCCAGGCATCCTCTGGAACAGACATTGAGGAGAGTTGAAGCAAGGGAGGAGGCCCCAGGGTCACCCCAAGGGGCTACTGTGATGGGAGGGGAGAGGCAGGGGACAGATGACTGGTTTTACCTGTAGTCATCACTGGCAGCGAGGTCCCGGATGTCCTCCTCAATGAGGAGGTAGGCCTGAGGCAGGAGCAAAGGAGAGTGGTCACTGCCTTTGATTCAACTCAACTCAACAACACTTGATTAAACATGTGCTTAATGTCAGGGCTGGAAGGGACAGGGGCATGATTTACAATTTAGGAGGAGAGAGTGAGTAGGGAGAGACTGGGGAACAGCGCCCTGAGACCACCTTTCACACATATAGAAACTTTATGGGTTAGGGAGTGGGACTGGTGACTTATTTACGGCCCTTTCCTCTTAAAAAAGGCCTCTGAGGTAGCTTAAAATGAAATGGCAAGAGAGCTAGCAAAACACATATGGAAACAGGAAATCAGGAGGAGGAAGCCATATGTTAACTCTAAGAACGAAGATAATCTGGTTTTGAACTTCATGGCAAAAGGGAAAACATGAGAAGCTGCACACACTGCTGTGGTCCTGGGGCCTACGGAACAGCTTTGGCGCAATGCCACGGTCTGCAGTGGGAGAGCGCCCTCTCATGAGCTTACTTACCATACAGGGGATGTCATCCATCACATGAGAAAGTCTTCTGTGAGAGACAGTTCTTTCTGCTCTTATGGTCAGGATTGTGTGTCCCCTGAGGAATCTGTTTTCACCTTATGAGCACTGTGAACTATCTAACAGATGAGGTGTCCTTGAGAAGGTTCTAGAGCTAAATTTGTGATAACCCATGGAAGTGTGCTGGTTTATCAAGTCAGCAATTAAAAAAAATTAAAAAAAGTCAGCTGCTAGTCTTGCAGCGCCTGGGTGGCTCAGTTGGTTGAACATCCGACTCCGGCTCAGGTCATGATCTCATGGTTCGTGAGCTCGAGCTCAGCATCAGGCTTACTTCTCAGTGCAGAGCCTGCTTTGGATCCTCTGTCCCCCTCTCTCTGCCCCTCTCCTGCTCATGGTTTCTCTCTCAAAAATAAAAATTAAAAAAGAAATAAAGCTCGTCTTGCTTATTGCTTAACTTTAGATCCTGTCTTTCCTTTTTCCCATCTATTTCTTATTTATGTTATGTTGCGTTTTATGTATCAGTGCTAAGCTCCCTGACATCTTTTTTAAAAAAAAAATTTTTTTTTAAACATTTATTTATTTTTGAGACAGAGAGAGACAGAGCATGAACGGGGGAGGGTCAGAGAGAGGGAGACACAGAATCTGAAACAGGCTCCAGGCTCTGAGCAGTCAGCACAGAGCCCGACGCGGGGCTCAAACTCACATACCGCGAGATCGTGACCTGAGCCGAAGTCGGACGCTTAACTGACTGAGCCACCCAGGCGCCCCATCCCTGACATCTTCTTAAACAGGGGGTAGGAATAAGAAGAGTACTAAAAAGAAGATGGTTTTTCCTTGCCAGAAAGGAGATGGCATACTGGTTTGCAAGGCCACTGAGTTCTAACAGGTGCAGTCACAGTGGTGTGACTGAGGCCTCAGGTGGGGGACACTGCATGTGATGAACAAAACCCTGCTACTTTTAGAACACACACAGTGATGATTTTCCCCAAGATTGTTGCTTGATATAAGGTAAGTACTCTTTAAGCAGAGGTGATTCTGGAAAGGGCTGCTAGGTGTGGCAAACAAGTTTTACTGAATGTGCTAACTCCTACTGACAAGACGTGCTGCCTGGATCACTGTGTTGGGAAGATTCTATAGCTGTGTCTGGTAGAAGAGTGTTGTGATCCACGAGTGCAATCTGTCAGTGGGCACATGAGGGGAAAGTAGCGTTAAGTGTGTCTGGTGCTTGACATTTTTAGGCACAGCGAATACAATCCAAATACAAGGGATGATGTGGGAGGCTGAGGGAGTGGTGTGTGGGAAGGGAATCCAGGGATTAAGTCCGACCTTCAGCATGAAGGAATGGGCCCTCTCCACCCTGACAAGTCTCCCTTTCCACATTCGTCAGGCTTTGAGTCTCACGCAGAGGTAGGCCGGAACCTTGGTCCCCGGGCTGGGTGGGTCTCTGACATGGCACGTGTGAACAGTGCTTACCATCTTCCCTCCTGTTGCCCGCATGTGATGCTGCTCGGCCAGCCAGTGCTTGTCCTGGGGGTCAGCTGCGTACTGTGAGGGATGAAATCACAGACGTTAGCCTAGTGAGAGGAACTTTTCTCATTTGGTCCCAGAGCCATCTCTCGTTTCCCTGAGTAGCTCTTACTAAGAAGACCTCGTCTCAGCCTGGTGGATGTCAGAGGGCTTGCCAACTTCTTCACAGCAAGTAGAGCTGAGCCCAGGAGGCCAGGGGTCGGGACCCCCATACTAGATCTTTAGCACTTCTAATCCCTACCCCTTCCTTTCTCAGAACACAGAACTCTGGCAACTGGTCAGACTGATGACTACTATTCTAGAGCTTAATTCCTCTTTTAAAAATGACCTGAGGTAGTTTATAACACATGTGAATGGTTATGGTGACCATTATTTTCTAAGACAAAAATCAGGACAGGTCAAGCTCTGGGGGAGGCAGAATAGTACTGCGGTGAAGAACCTGGTTTTGGAATTAGGTTTAAATTCTGGTTCCTGACCCTTAGTAGATGGTGTCAGCCTGGGCAGTAATTTCCTTGAGACTCGGTTTCTTCATCCGTGAAATGGTGTTCACACTTACCTCATCGGGTGCTCGGTAAGGATAAATGATATAGTGCATAAAAAGTAGGAAAGATAGTACCTGACACAGTAAGTGCTCAATAAAGGTAGGTTTTGTAAGACAGGCACAACATTTGAGATAGAGACAAAGCAGAGAAATCTGCATCGTTACCACTCTTTGAGTTTAAATACTTATTTCATTTCCCAAGTAACATAAATATTAATCAGAAAATTTAAAAGTATGCACTTTCTGACCCAGCAATCTCACTTCTAGGGATGTATCCTGCAGAATCACTCACACATGTACACAGGCATATTTGGGAAAGCATTGTGTGTAATAGCAAAACTACTGGGAAAAAATGAAAATATCCATTAATAGAGTAATGAAGTAAGTTATGGAATATCTAGTCTATAAATTCTACACAGCTGTTAGAAATAAAATGAAGGAGACTTAATTT